TAATACTCGCGCTACTATGGAGCAGAGCCAGACCGAACTTCCCCGAACTCAAACCTTGTGGGCGGGACTAAGTTCGGACTGGCACCCAGGCTAAACTTTTATGCCCAGCATGGCACAAAACTCCTGCCAGTATCAGACCACAAACTGAGGGCCGCTGTCTGACACTATGTCAGACGGTAGGCCGTGAAGCTTAAAAACCTCTCCTGTCAGGATTATCCCATCTCGTTAGCCGAGGGAAGCTTAGGTAAAGGAACCAGATGGACCATTTTTGAGAAGCGGTCAACGATGGTGAGGATGACAGTGTGGCCCTGAGAGGGTGATAGACCAGTGACGAAATCCATAGAGAGGCACGCCCAAGGCCGGGAGAGAACAGGAAGGGGATGAAGTAGACCAGAGGGAGGTCGGCGGGTGTCTTTAGCCTGGGCACAGAGAGAGCAGGCAGAAACAAAACTCTTCACATCACTGACCAAGATGGGCCACCAAAACTGGGTACATAGCAGTCGGATGGGTTTAGTGATGCCAGGGTGACCATGCAGGTGTGCACTAAGGCAGAAACCCAGAATCTTCCTCCTGAGGGACAAAAAGTCTGTTCTTGGGACAGGCCTCTGAGATGTGCACCTCTCTCAGGGAATCCCTGACCTCCTTTTCTAGATCGAGCCTGGTCACTGCACATCTGACGGAGTCGGGGAGGATAAACTCAGAGGTTTGGTGGTGACTCTCCTCCTCCGACTCGAACATCCTGGAGAGGGCATCAGGCTTGACATTCTTAAACCCGGGCCTATAGGAGAGGGAGAAATTAAAAAGTCCAAAAAACAGAGCCTATCTGGCCTGCCGGGGGTTGAGCCTTCTGGCAGTCTTGAGGTACTCCAGGTTCTTGTGATCCGTCCAAACAAGTAGGGAAGTTTGGCGCCCTCCAGCCAAAAAATTCAAGTCTTTCTAAAAGAATATTATGATCAACTGGATCAAATGCAGCACTGAGATCCAACAGGACGAGCGCAGATACAAGTCAATTATCTGAGGCCATGAGAATATCATTAGTGACTTTCACCAGAGCTGTTTCAGTGCTATGATGAGCTCTAAAGCCAGACTGAAACTCTTCAAAAAGTTCATTATGCTGGAAGTGATCGCAAACTTGTTTGGCAACTACTTTCTCAAGAATTCTAGATCAGAAAGGAAGATTGGATATAGGTCTATAATTGACCAACTCATCTGGGTCAAGAGACGGTTTCTTAGGCAAAGGTATAATTCCAGAAGCCTTAAAAGCCTTTGCTACATGTATTGAAGGACTTTGGGTTTGGGATTCTTTGAGTAAT